AAGACAGCACCTCCTACAGCACCGTGTCCCCAGTCACCATAGTGAGACATTGGTTTAGCAACATGTTTTGTAAATTCTGGTACAGAGTGAAGGGTGCCACCTTCTCATTCAGTAATGCCTCTTACAATGGCAACCAGATTTTCCTTGTTGGATTCACATCCCAGATTACAACACATCACCAGTGTTCAGCGTTACTTATAGAATGCTGAAGAGATCTGTGGGAAAAAAAAAAAACTAGATATATGCCAATGAAAACCTATAGGACTGAACTGCTATCTGTCACGACCGCCAGCCTGCCCAGACCAGCCCCCAAGAGATCTAACCAGTGCCAGCAGCAGGGTGATAATTACAAGCGCCGCTGCATGTGTTAACTCAGCACCAGACGCCCTATCGTGTGGCTGGCTGCAGTATTTAAGCCATTCAAACCCACTTCTTGCTGCTCGGTATTGAGTCTACTCTTTGAGAGCTCTACCTGGCGTTTATTCTGTACTTCGCATTCTCCTGGATACTGGACTCCCCTTTTGCCTCTCAACCTTGGACCTTGCCTTTCGATTTGGATTGTTCGCCTCTATTTGTACTTCCTGGATTTCGAACCACCTTTCTCCGTTTTCACCACGATCTCGCCTGATGTTCCGGATTGTTTGCCTGCCTCGACATTACCTACTCCTGCGTCCACATATCTCTTCATTGGGAATTCCTTACACTATCACCTGCATAAATGCACAGCATTCTGGCATCCAACCCTCCATTCACAGCTATTGAGATAACTAGTTCTGTCATCTTATCTCCCATATAAGATGCCAATTTTATTTAAACAATTGTTGTTAAATTGAAGGTACTCCTAGTCATTTAAATTAGTGGACAATTCCCAAATGCAGGGTTTAACAAGCATAAAAATTAATGGAAAGGCCACACATGTTTTCTCCATTTTGGATTTTTAATTAGTCATCTGCTATAAAATGATGCCCATGTATTTTTTTTTTCATTTGAATTAATTTTGGTTATCAGATATACTTACAGTAGTAAGTCAAAAGCTCATTTATTGTTTTTGCTTTTGTTATAATAACAAAAAAAACTATAAACGCATTATGCATCCTAAGGATATTTTCTGTCTTATTATTATCCAGTCGTTGGGTTAATATTTTTATCCAAACCAATATAAACTAAATAATATAACTGTATTGTATAAAATGAAACACTACAAGTTCAAAGATGTTAATAGTAATCGTGTGATACAAATCACAGTAGTCTAACAAAATTCAGGATATAACCTAAACCTAATTCAATAAGTTATGGACCAAAGTTAAAATAAAGTTAAAAAGTGACCAGAATAGAGCCAGATTATCACGCAGTGTATTTGAAGGCAAAAGAAGGCAAAGTATAAGTGAGATCTTGAGCATGCAAGCTGACCGAAGAGTTTATCAAAAGATGCCTGTGGTCTGAGAACAGTCTGAATGATACTGTAGATATCTAGTGTGATGAACATGAAAGCCCCTACTCTGAAACAGCAAACTAGTGCATAACCAGCAAACTGTAAGGCAGCATAATGTACTGGCAGTCACAATAATATGGACACATACCGTGGCTTTGTCAGAAATAACAATGAAAACCATAGAATAGAATCAGCTATTGATTCACATGAAATTCTTCTAGCTGTAGCGGAGCTAGTTTGGATACGGTGACGTCATCACCCTCCCTGCGCGTAGCAGGGACCTCAGCTGCCTGGGAGGGAGGTCTCCTTTAGCTCATGTGGCTGGTTCCCTGTTGCGTTTCGCCGAAGACCCGGGTTCGCGCCCCAGGTGTTGCGGGACGAAACGGGTGGCGGAGGGCATGAGCCCGCGCGGATCGACGACGGTCACATAACCAAAAGAAAAACAATGCATGCTGGATATGTTTTGCAGATATGCTAATGAAATCTCTTCTCATTTAAACAGAACCTCTATATCTGTGATACTTAACAATCACAGCTGCAGATACTAGGCATTTCATTGCAACACTTAAGCAACGTACCACGGTGAATTTCTGCTCCATCTGTTGCGTCTCCTGGCATAATTATGCTGATTGCAAACATATTTCGCACTCTCTGGCCTAATTCATTCCAAACACTGCCTGCGGAGGCATGTACATCATTTTCAAAACCTGCTGTTCTTTCAGATGTAAACAGCTTGGGATGGATCACCTTCAAAAAGAGTAGATCAACAGAATGGCATGCTTTAATCTGTAACCTGTCTGATGTTATTTTGAATGAGCCTGGATGTGCACTGAAGATCACTGTTATGTTGAATCATCTTAAAGAGTAGAGGTAATCTACTCCTGATAGCTTCCTGAGGGTATTGCCTGATTTTGCGTAATGTTTGGAATAATATTCTTTCTTTACTTTTTCTTTGTATCTATACCAATATGTTCTGATGGCCAGCAAAACATCTTCCACATTCCTATCTTTATCTTTACTATCTCCAGACAGTTTATTGTGGAGTATTATCTCCATTTTACCTCACAATATTCTGACAATCAGCCATATCACCCTGCAGCTCTCAAGTGCCGACCCACTGAAGCTAAGCAGGGTTGACCCTGGTTGGTAACTGGATGGGAGACCTCCTGGGAAGTTATGGTTGCTGGTGGAACTGGTGTTAGTGGGATTAGTGGAGGGTTTCCTAGTATAATAGTGGGGACACTATACTGTAGTGGGCGCTGGCTTTTGGATGAGATGTTAAACCGGGGTCCTGACTCTCATTGTCATTATAGATCCCGGATTCTAGGCCACATTTTCCCCCTCTGCCTTTACCGTGGCCTCCAAATTGTCCCCATGTATGATTGGCTTGCACTTGCCCTGTGATCGACTGGCGTTCCTTCCAGGGTGTACCCTGCCATGCGCTCGTTGCTTGCCATGTAGGCACTGGCTTCCTGCGACAACGTATGGTACCGTATAATGAGGTTTAGTGAATGATATGACATGACATTCTGACAATCTCTCACATGGTTTTGCTTCATCAGCTGTTTCCTCTTTAAGCTGAAAAGTTCATACCTCTCCTCTATCCACAGCACACTCTCCCCATTGCACATTTACTATCTTTATGGTTAGGTGAGGATTCTGGACATTTTTGACAATTTCTTTCTGTGAATGAAGGTTTTCAGGCTATATGTCAAACTATCATCTCAGTTTCTGGAGGACATCCCTTTACTACTGCATCCAACACTAAGCAAGGACGTACAGTATGGGCCTGAAATCAGCTGAAAGTTGAGTGCTGGACTTTCAAAAAATCGTTCTTCTGCCTCAAGCAATTTTCAGTGGCTAAAGGTTATTCTGTTTTCTGTTGTACTTTTGAAATGAAACCTTGATTTTTTCTCTCAGTTGTCTTGTTTGTTAAGGGTATTTTTTTGACTCACAATAACTACATTTTATCATCTTGCTCTGAGCCATGGCACCTCACATAGAATATGCTGGAAACAAAAGCTGGCTGCTCATCTAATACTAAGATGTATTGTCTCAGATTTTCAAATTTGTCTTGACCAAATAATTTGACTTGACTATTGAGCACAACATTCTGAGGGAGAGGAAAATGTGCAATTCATTACAAGGGAATGTAACTGCCTTGGAGAGGTAAACTGATAGTGAAATGTTATTTTAAAAAATCTAATATTAAGAGTTTTTATATGCCAATGACATAATTTCCTGTTATAGAACAGATTTTAATTAGATTGCAAATATGCCCACTACTTTTGACAACAGATGAATTTATGTGTATAAATGTATAGTAAGTTACGTACACTACATAGTTTAGAGCAATTCCATCTAACTATACATTTCCATAAACCTTATTAAGTGTATTTTCAATTGTTACCAGACTTTTTAGCATCAGATCAAAACATGTTTCCAGCGTTGAATAAATCAGTTTCAAAGAAAAGATCTACTTTCAATTTTCACCTGCTGTGACAACACAGTATGTGTTTTCAACATTAAAATGGCTATCAGGGCTCTATTTCATAAGAAATAAAGGTTAAAATTCGAAACATAACTAAAATGCACTGCAGCAACATTAAATAAATTCAATTTGATCTTCACCTAAAATAAATTACAGCATGCATGCATAATCAAGAACAGTTCAAAGCTTCTGTCTTCAATGCACCCATTTTCATGCCTTAACATCAAAATATCAGTGAATTCCCAATGTTTGTGTTGTTGATATACTACATACATAATTCTTGTATGCATTCAAAACACTGCATGATACTAGTTAAAAGCCAAGGATGCAAGATGATTTTTTATGGCAATCTCTCCATCTGCAATAGTATTGCGCTATGTAATGGATAAACCAGAAATGCAGAATTTCTGCACACCTTCACATTCACTCCCATAAGAAAGATGCTCCTTGCTGAGAATCTGATATCCATGAAAATGATGCAAACCGATTACTGTGACGTATCCATGGAAACAAGGACTTCAACATGCCAATCCCAGTGCCATGATTACATCCGCGGTCTCAAAGCATATGGCTACATTGTAGGTACACGCTCAGAGAATTAGTGACAAACAATATGCACAAAAAAGAAAATTGTAATACACTCTCTTTAGGAATTCATTTGTATTTTTACTCTGTACAGATCACAGTTTCATCATAATGGGTACCACATGCAACAGGGTTGTTTGATGAATTGTAACTGCCTCCATTATGCACATAAAGGTTCTTTCAGCTGTGAAAACATTCATAAATTCATTTGAAAAGACATAAAATGTTGGGTCTGTTCCCATTTATATCCAACATAGGGAAATTATTCCATGTCCATTTTCTACTTTCCAGAAGTAGAGGAAAAGTGCAACATATTATTACTGAATAAATAATAATAAACTACTTGTTTAAACCAGTAAATGCCTTTTACATTTTAAAACATTTTTTTCACTATAAAATGGACCTCATTTGCCTTTTGACAGAATGGTATGTTAATCAAACTTACAATGTGAGCTGAATGCAAAAATGAGTAACATTCCAGGATAAACTCACCCTGGTCTAGAACCTCTTCCTCTTCTCTCTTGGGCTGCAGTAATACAGATTCCTCTTCAGGACCTTTAGTATATAACCAGAACACAACATTACTAGCCTTCATGATAAAAGCATGGGTCTTCACAATAATTGTCTTACATGCAAGTACTTAAAACTGATTTTAACATTTATCCAGGTGTTTCACAACATGTAGCAAAGAGAAACGAGCACAAAAAGGCGTTTAGTCTGTAAAGAAGCTTTTCAATATTGGAAATGGTACTTATGGTACTTATGCAATATATTCTGTGTACTGTTAGAACTATAAATACAGAAATGCCACTTCAGGGAGCAGATTAAATGATGTATTATTAATGTTAGTATTGGAAAAGGAGTTTGCACATCTGCTCTTTTCATTTAAAAGGGCAGAGTGATATACAGCCCATAGATGTTTTTGTATATTGAAGTCTTGCCATCTAATGCATGTGTAAATCTCTGAGAAATAATGTTTTTGTTTGACAAGACACATACAGTGCGCAGTAAGGAAAACTTGTGGATACGAGAGAGCGGGGATGTATTTTTCTACCTGCTTGATGCATGTGTCCATGCATCATCAGCATACCGGGGCTCACTGGAATAGGAATGTTTGCTTCTTTGGGAATGTTTCTGAACATCTCATTCTTTCCATTTTCCATGCATCTCATATAAGGAACTGCTTGTTTGGCATCCATGTAATACATGATATAGAAGTTACACATTTCATCTTCAGATGTGCCCCTGTGGAAATAAAATGAAAATAAATAAAACGGAATAAATACATAAAAATAAAAATAAAATGGAAAGAAATTAATACCCACACAATGTCCTTTAACTAATTTAGGCTAATTATTCACCACACTAAGAAATCAAGTTTTCATGAGGTACTGTATCCATCATCCGACAGGTTATAAACTGTTTAAAATCTTAATCCTACAATTTTCCAAATTAAGTTATTCCCCACACTCATTCCCCACGCAGAGACAATTTCATTGTATTTGTTAACAAAAGGCAGGCCAATGTTGCAATTTTAATTGGTTATCCTTGTCAGTGAGCAGAGGTACCCACAGAGGTGCGTGGGCGATGCCTGCCTGGTAAATACGTCAATGCAGTCTTTCCCCATTGGAGTCATGAAGCGTTCAGTTATTCACCATGGCAACCATAATGACATGGTGACACGCTCAAAAAAAAAAAAAAAAAGACAGCTCAAAACGGAAATCAGTCCCTCCTTGCAAATGCAGTTTCCCCAGAGACCATAAGGCACAGTTCTTCCCTGGGCTTGACAATGCTTTTTTAAAATCTCTAAGCTCAGACTGTCCGCATCTTAAACCTGTCAGCATACCTGCCACATCTTGCTACAGAAGGAGATGAAGGGCAAAAATTGTAAATGTATCTTTCGCTGCTGTGCCTGGTAGTAAATTCTCGGTAGCAGAAATGACATCTACGTCTTCTTTGACACCGTTTTTTCAAAAGCTTACCATTCAGTTCTATGATATCTCCCTTTAAAACTAATAACCGTGTGTTTAGCATGATCATGAGATACAAAAATGCCTCAATGGTAAGTTTCAGTGCAGTGAGCATTGTGCAGTTTATAAACTGTATTTTTTCATTCTTTTTAAAGGCTTTTACGCAATGACAATGCAATGACATAAGTTTTAGATAAATAGCTCACTCGGGATATAAATACTTTTTTTACATTTTAAATTGAGAGCACTTACATCTGTCAATTCAAAATTATTATTCCTTGGAATAAACAAATATCAAGCTTAAGTCATATGATTTCATAGAAGAACCAGATGTGTAGACTGTGGTATAAGTGTTTAGCTCAATTTGCCAATTTATGTTGATTGAGAATCTGTATATGTAACTGTTAATGAAGACACTTTATTAACTTAACTTAAATTAATTAAAGCAAAAATATACAACCAAGAATTAGTAATCATGGTTGCCTTGTTGCCTTTGCCATAACTGAAGATGGCTTGTCTGGAAGAGGGGGTGCTCAGAAATTGAGAAGTTCTGCTTCAATCAGCAGACAGGAAAAACTAGGAAACCAGTTTTGTGAAAGACAGGTCAAGTCCTGGGAGGCAGTGGGTCACCACACCAGCCCAGGACCATCACATGTCCATGTGATCCATCTGCATAATAATGCAGTGACTAAGACTGCAGTGGCTGCAGCATAAGATATTCAGAGAATAAATAAACTGAGCATCAGCAGATCAACTGCAGTTTGCAATCTGCATATTCATAGGACTTCTGGGGCAACATGTTGACAGCTGAGAGACAAAATGTTCATCTTCTGTGGGCCAAAGAAAATTTGAGATGACAGAAGAGAGTGTTTTATTCACTAATGAATGCTATTTGCCCTTGACAGAAGTGATGGAAGATCATGATGAGCCTTATACTGTTTCACTGCTCAAACCATCCAGAGGGGTGGTAGAAGAATGATGATGTGTGGAGGAATCTCTTTTAACATCTTTGATGAAGACTGAGGAAAACCTTACCGCTCAGCGCAACAAGATTCAACTGAGCCATTTCTGAAGTGTTGGTTTTTCAGCAATTCAATGCAAAACCATACATTCCTAAGCTTACAATGGAATAACTTCAACAAAACTGTCAAAAGTGTTGCCTTAAGACTACTTTTACCTACAGTAGACCCGAGTATAATACCACATAAGTGGGACCAACTCTCCATTCCCTACAACAGGAGACAATCCTGTCTGGACAAACCCTCACAAGATGGCTGTAGGTGCACAGGAACATCCCATAGCAGTCTGTCCAGAAGCTGATCAGGTCTATGCATCAAAGCTTAACAGGATTATGTTAATACTCAAGTAGATCTTACATGATACCAAGTTCGGAATGATTTCATGGTTCATTCTGAAAATGTAACATGATATACAGTATTAATTGGTATATTTGTTCACATTTTCTTGCATGTTTTGATGTCTAACTTTTAAATATTTAACGCCATTTAAATTTATCTTTGTGATGCCCTGACGAGCTCCAATGCTCCTGCATCAGCACCCTCAATCACTATGGCGCATTCCACACGTGCATCAGGGCCATCGCTAATGAGATCAGTTCGGGCTTATCAACCTCGTTAAGAACCTTGCACAGTATTTAAACCCTGAGGAACCATTCCTCAGGGCTCTGACATTGACTTAACTGTGTGTTTTTTCTTTGTTTCAGGTTTACAGTTTTTCCTGTTCACAGCCTTCTGGTTCCTGTTTGCAACACTGCCACCACTCACTAACTATCTATCATCCACTCCTGTCTCCAGCCCAGATCCGACTGCTTCCCTGAGCATCTCAGCTGCCTGCTGTTCTCCTTTCTGCTTCCCATTACTGCATTGTTATCACATCTTAAACTCTGTAATCCTCACCACTGATTCAGATTCTGAGGACAATTACAATTACGGGCCCGGCGTAACAGTCTTGCCCTGATATTTTATTTTGTGAATCAGTTTGAAAGTTGAGGTCCATCAATGTTCCCCAGCCAACTTGACACCTTGAGGAAATTTGAGCAACTTTGCACCTTCCTGGTGTGCAAAAGTGTATGTCTAGAATGTTCTAAAAAGTACCTGAAACTGTAATTGTAGTTGCACTTTGTCATCCATCCATTCAGTTTCTTAAACTTTAAGTGCTTAACCAGTGAAGTGTTGCAGGAGAGCCATAGCCTATCCCAGCAATCACCGGCCGCAAGGCAGGATACCCCTGAATGGGAAACCCGACCATCACATTGCACACACGAGCTAGGAGCTGTGGTTAGACCATGTCTGGTGTAAACAGCATTGTTCCTTTAGGCGTCCTTGTTCAGTTGTCCTCAGATATAAGGAAAGATGGCATTTGACCGGTTTAATTCTGAAAGTAACTTTGACAATAACTGCTGTATAAAACTAAAATAAAAAATGTTTCAAATGTAGGTCAGTAAAATCTAGGAGACAACTTGAACTCACCCAATGCGTGTTGTGGTAGTCTTTCCCTCCCCTGTAAATACACATCTGGCAGCCAATTTGTCCCCATACCGGATGTCAACACCATTGTTTGCAGGATAAAATGCCTAAAAAATACATCTAATTATGAACTCACAAAACACCAAACCCATGAAAATAGCTCACTAGGATGACATAAAAATCACAAGGTAAACACTCATCGAAGGATTTTAGTGGTGAGTGAAGCAAGATATTTGCCAGGAGCACAGTGGCCCCTTAACAACCACATGCTAAAATTCAAATTCATTAATAAAATTCATATAGAAAAACAGAAACTCATTGGTACTTGAATTCATTAATCAGAACATTTTAGGCCAAGTTGCAAGTTACAAGCGATAATGAAGAAAAATAGACAGGGAAAGCATGTGTGCTTGTATATTCCTTCAGCTTCATAATGAAAACAAAATAAAATCATGTAAATTGTTAAATAAAAGTACGTTAATAACCTTGAGATCAAGGCAATATAAAGTACCATTCTCACCATGTATTCTTATATTGATATGCAATTTCAAATATATTCATTTATATTTTAATAAAAATATCAAATCCACTTTTTATCAAAACACCAAAAAAGCCCAATGTCTTCAAACACAGACTACCCATGCACAGCTGACACATACAGGCTCTCGTAGCGTTTCGCTGAAACACAAAGCCATGTGAATTAAGGCAAGATTCAGAATAAATAGATGGAGTTCAGAACCTCCTACAGATTCTTTTTCTCAGATTGTGTTGAACATATTTAAACAGGGGAGTTCATATACATCTCCTTCATGCAACGCTTATGATGGAAACGATGATAAGTAATGTGGACATCAGTGACAGCCCTGGCTGTCAAGTGCTCCATGAAAAAGTATACATGGTGGGAAAGCAGGCTTAATCTGTCATCTTCTGTGTCAAGACAGGCTTTCTGTATTTATTCTGCTTTTAGATAGTGGCAGTGTGATTTGGACAACTGACCACTGCAATTTATTATTCAATTCAATTCAAATACTTTATTCATCCCCAGGGTGGGCATGGGAACATAGTAATTTCACGTTTGACCAGAGACAAAGTCTGAGCCTTCGCCTCAAGAGGTTAAAGACCCGAGAGAACGAGTAACTCCATCAGGCTGCCCTTCATAGAAAAACAGTCAAATTCAATGACGTTCTTTGACATTGTTTTTTTTTCTTCTAAGTTTCAGATATATACACCTTTAAAACTACAGATTTGTGCATATAGTGTATATATGCAATATACTGTATGCAAAAACTTTCACAGATGAAAAGGGTAAGTTACAAAACAGTTATGTAATTTTACTCTATGAAGAGTATAGAATTTCAAGATTTATACAATGAACTCAATTAAAAATCCACAAAAATTATATTCAAAAGTCTGTCATCAGGTACATCAGAAAATCCACTTTAAAAAAAAATCCATAAACAACATTTTTTTCTTCGAATGTCCTATAAGCAAAATGGATATTAACAAGGACTATAAATATCCCATGTCTGTTTTTTGTCTGTACTTGTGCTTTGACCCATTCCTAAGCAGAGTTGCTTAATGACCTCACAAGAAATGGCCTGCTCACTGTTGAATATCTATCCTCTAATTTGGCTGACTTTACAAGTTACATCAAAATTAATTAACTTGAATAAATTATTAGGAACACTTATCTGACCTGAAATTTGACAAAGGAAGCTTTGTAAATATCCATGTATCAAACCAGAGTAAGGTAACTTTGCCAATATACAGTACATACACACCTGTGAAAAAAACTGAATGCTTGTCTAATAAAATAATGTTGTTTTCCATTATACTTTTGTTAGCGTAGTGCAGGAAATGAAAAGACCTTTGTTCTGTTGTCTCTCACTGTACAGGAAAGGTCTGTCTACTAAAGAAATGTACGCAATGAACACTTTAGAGTTTCATAATAAGAAAAATAATGCATCTTTTCTAATCAGACCTTGATTTTAACTAGCACTATATTGTACATAACTCCATCTTTAAGGTCACAACAAAGATAAATACTTATCCTATAGACAAAAAAACTAAACCTATTTAGGTTTCACACCCTAAAGAGTGTTTTAATCCTGAAATGCTGTATTTCAATAGGTTACCGATGAAGTGAGTTTTAGCAGTGAATGCATTGTGTGCAATTATTTACCGCACTTTGCTTCCCTCTAGCAAATTAAAATGGGCATTTTATCTTATATGGAGATAAAAAAATCCTACAGAGATTTTATACTCTTGAGGTATAAACTAAACTACTTAAAATAACAACAGTTCAGTGGAAAAAAATATTCAAGAAGGTAGGTAAAGCCATTAGTGCTTGTAAATCTGATATGACAATGACAGCCGCACAAAATCTCATTTTCAGTGTCAGTGTCCACCGCAGGGCATGAAGTAGCTATTTTAAGTGTATATTACTATGCCTTCCCTTATTTATGATTCTTCATACATTTCTGTTTCATTTTCTGTTTAATTGTATTATTCTGCAACAAAACTATACACTTATTTGGAAAATGAAGAAATGTATTTAAGGGGTAAGATTTAAATGTACCACAAGGGGGACAAATTATTTTTAGTTTACATCAAACATTTAGACCATGTACTGGGGAAAATATAACAATGTTATTTCCTAATATCTACAGTCAACTTTCTTTTTTACTACTCTCCAAATTCAAGTATGAAATGAACTGTGACTCGGGAGCAGAGCTTCGGGGAGATAGACAAAAGAATAGACTTGCTCTGATGATCCACTTCCATTAATTACAAAAAAATAAGAGACTTTAGGGAATTTCCCTTGTTGTTGTTTTTTTGCAGTGTCCCATGAACCAAGACTATCAGCTAGATAACATCTCCAAATTACTCTAATTAATTTCGTATTACTGATTCTCTAAAGAGGACTACCATCCATCACAAATCCCTCTAAATGCGGGAAAGTAGGCACAGAAGCCATGCACTGTGAGAACACATTGGTAGAAAAAATTGCTTTCTGAACTAGAGGTTCAACAGAACTTAGAGACCTGATCACACCAGGCCTCAGAACCTTGCATCCACTCTTTTTATGGTCAGACAAAGCTATGGATTTGCCAAATCTTTTTAAATGCAACATATACCTTATATTTAAGATTCACTGCATTAAAAGCTCTTCCTTCCTTAGAACGCAATTATAGTTCTACTGGACTGGAAATGTGCATGCATTAGCTCTTTTTGAATCACTGAAGCCCCTGGTATATTGTTAGTAAAATGTAGAAGCAGATGGTGGAAAATATGGGAGAGATCTAAGATGGCTTCTGTTGTGTTTTTGTAATGTAGAATAATATACTGTACAATGTTTACACTGTACTCCAAGTGATGTATTTACAAGCCCCACTTTATCAAAGGAAATTTTCTGCTTTGTATACAAACCATTTGTGATAGCCTAGTATATCTGAAAAGTGGAAAATTTTCAACAGTATGAAAGAAAAGATGCAATCTCTGCAAAACATGAAGACAAACTTTCCAAGACTGAAATCACATTGGGCTGTGCTGAAACGTTCATACACTCAACAATCAATAATCAATCACCAATCAATAATCAGCAACTGAAAAGCAGTTCTAAAACCTTCACATTTCATGGGTATTCATGCAGTGACAGATGTTATCTGCCAAATGATTTTTGTCTACTTACAAATATTAAAGACTGGATTTTAAAACACAATATCAGTGCCCTGACAACCAGCACTTATACAGCTTAAGAGACAAGGGATGAAAAGGAAAAGGCATATTCCCAATTATTAGAAATGCACAACTTAAAGAACAGATGTATATTATTATACACTTTCATCTTATTGCATAAACAAGACCTAAAATACTTGTAATATGCTTTACCCATACAGTGAATCTAACCAAATACTAAATAAAACACAGTATTAAAAGTGAACACACTAAATAGATAAATTAACAAATTAATCATCCAAATGGCAAGAAAAACTAATTAAAAATCCCAAGAAAACACAATTAAAAACCCCATTAAATTGTACTGTTGCAAGAACTATACTAAGTTTGGAGCTAATTGGCCAAATAGTTTCTGCACAAGAGAAGCATGTGCCAAAACATGATAAGAGAACACAACTGCAGTCTTGCAGCAATCCCGCCTTGATAAGGGAACCCTATTTTACATTGCCACTACATTACTGTTTTTGGAGCTCATTGACCAAACCGTCCCGGAAGAAGAGCAGTTTGTAATAAGTCTGACATGTTCAAAAGATTTTAAAAGGGGTTTTGACTGTTTAGAACCTACTTGTGTCACAATTTCTATAGCCTATATTATCCAGTTGAGCCTTCCTCATATGAAGATGCTTGGCAGCCGAAATCTTTAATATGAGCAGTAGGAAGAAAAAAATCAGAAGGATTTTTATTATTGGTGACAAATTAGCCTTGTTTGCAGAGGATTGTTTAAATTCTCTAAAATGTGTGGGAGAAGACATGTTATATGCTAAAATCCAAATTGGTACTATATTTCATAGATTAATTTTAAATGTATTTTCTAGCACTGTATTTTTTGCATGAATGGCTGCTTTCCTGTTACAAATGGATATAATTTTTGTTTCTCCAATTGGATTTTAAATGGATGCTATTTTTCATCAGAGTGAGAGCACTGGTATAAACGAGAAGATAAAAGTAGCCTGTTGCACCCTCACGTACAGAGACGTACCTGTATATATCTCTTGTACACAAACCCATATACAGTATGCTTTTAAGCCAACCTGCCAGTTTACAATAAAACTGTCAAACAACTATGACCAACGAACAAACACGGACATTCCAGTAGCTTACCAAATCATTCATATTTATTGATTTGACTCCTTACTTGCAAAGCTCTCACTTTGTAGTATTTCAACTGATGCATAATTTACTGGAAAGCATATTGATTTCACTACATTTCAGTATCAGGGTTCAGACAGCAATGCATATACAGTACTGTAGTACTAACGTTTTAATGAATGCAACTTTTTATCAACACAGAAGAACTTTTAGTCAGATCCCCAGTTCTCAAAATAAAGTCTGGTATTAGAGATAAGTCTGGCAGTTCTGGTAGTTCAGGCTGGTAGTTATTTTTTGTCAGGATTTTGTCTAGTTTGTACATTTGATTCATTAATGAATAATGTCGCAATGTCAATGTAAATGTATTGTTTAATTCATTGTTTTGCTTTATATTCATCGTATGCAAAGTAAGTGTTTCAGAAGGCACGCTTTGTAGTAATAAATTTTTCAGAAATTCTGTGTACATTTGGGTAAGAATCTAAGAATGTACCCTGGTAAAATATTAGGCACTAAGCAACACTTGCACTAACACTCAAGAAAACAATATTTATCATTTCATTATGCTGAACATTATTTTCGCTGGAAAAGTAAATATAATTAATAGATAAATGTTATTTGCCATATTTATTATTGAAGGCATACCTCCATCTTATCTTTTACATTAGTATTAATGCAGAAGCAGGCAAACGTGGACTAAAACAATTACTCAATATACGCGATTCCAAGATTTGCTCCTTTTCATAGAAGTGGTACTGTACAATGCATTATCACTATCCAGAATATAATTGTCTAAATCTGACATTGTCATTCGGAGACTGTGAACTCTCACATTTTACTTGTTACTTATACTGTGATAGCTGAAGATCTCCCTAAGCAATATATGACTGTGATTCCACTGTTTGGAAGAAAAGCAATCATTGGTATTGCAGATAAGATAAACTACAGTGCCATTCTGATACTGTATTTGCCACATAACCTCAGGAATCTGAAGAAGCCAGCCTCTGTATTACTAACGTGATGTGGTGTTTCATTCGTGTACTTTTCATTAATTAAAGCACTTCAAACATTAAGAGGAAATTGTTACAAGCATCTCTTTTGACACAAACCTTAAGACATATACTGTATAAATAAGATGTAAATAAATTATTTCAAATAATGTGTTACATACATTTCAGACAAAAGTAGTGTTAACAGCTAAATTATGCATCGTATGTACTGTATTTTTTTATAAACAATCGAAGAATGACATTTGCCAGAAACATCCTATAACTATTTTTTTTTAATTATGTAGCAGACCCCCTTATTCACGGTGCCTTATGTACATTAAAATACATATGACATTTTAGTCATATGTACAACACAACACCATTTATCTTATTTTCCACACTGCATTTAATTTCCTTTTAAACACAAATACACACACATAGGTATAAACTACCAAATATGAAAAGCTTTGTGAGATTCTATATAAAGAAAAAAAGATTTGTATATAATTTTATGTAGTTGATATGACTTACCTGGGGTAACTGAGGAGACTGTCTCCCAATTAAAGTCCACTTTCCATCTCGCACTCTATAACCACTAACTACTTTTCCTGAAAAAGCAAATACAGCACAATTTCACAAACTAATGCATAACACGATGATTAAGTGGGTTATGTTCATTATTAAATAAATGAAAATAACATTTTAAGATATAAAACTATCATACACAAATTAAAATGCTTTATTTACTGGAGATGGAACAGAATTGAACAAATCTTGATTTATATGTGTTTAACGTCAAAGGCAAAATTAATAATAGATTATTATGCAGTACGTTAGTATAAAATCTTACCCAGGCGATGTGTGTGAGTTCTGAAAGAAAATGGGTACATTGGATATGACCTGTAAGTGCAGGCAATGTCAGCATTCGTAACTGTGAACAAAATAAACATACAGTTGATTAGTAACATGAGCACTGGTACCTAAGAAGTCATATATTACTTGTGTTACCATGTAATATCCTAATATCAGTTGAGTATTTTACACAGTAAAAAGAAATATAAAATAACCATATCAACTAGCATTAAGAGAAAATTAAAACGTACCACAGCTACAGTATGTCGAACTTGTGATATTCGAGAGATCAGCATTAGGCAAATGTAAATTTAACAAGTTATACAGAACGCTTCTTACTAGCGAAACTACTCTAAAAATACAAAACATTATTAATTTTACATATTTTATAAATATTACAAACACATTAGTGCAAGTATATACAAAATTATTAATCTGTAAAATGTTAATGTATGTGATATTCTTGTACATATTGCATTCTTTTCATTTATCATTAAACAATGTCAGACAATAAGCATTTTTTCTAAAAAAAGGTGTATTCATATTTTTTTTGTGAAAATTTTGAAATAAATAGAATTTCAGAGAATACAAAGTTATTCTAAAATATGTGCATAAGATGTTTTCCATTCAGAACATCTTTGTGAGGATCGAACATTTAAACTTCTACATCACTCCACAATTTATTAGCAAAGGTTTTATAAACACTTTATAAACATACGCAATATAACATATTGATAATAATTTGTTATAAATAATTTTGAATTATACTTAAAAACAATACGATTTCTCAATGAAAATATTTGTTATAGAAAGTAACCCAAGGATCCGTCTAATGTTAACAACATTGACATAGTGCATTTTACTAGCAGCCCTACACAGACGTCAGAAAGAGAAAATGACAAACAGATTAAGGCAAATGGAAAATATTTTGACATTATCCCACAGATAACAGTTGGAACTATGGGTGGTGAAAAACACCAGGGTTGGTATTTAAAAATAAATGCGTCTATTAGCAAAGGATATACTTCTACTCTGCATATTTCTATCAGATGTCACTTCAAAGGAATTCAAATGCTGTGCTGTTACAATGAGAAAAAGGGAATGATAATCAGTTCCACAGCTTCCCACTTACCCTTTTTCCCTGGTGGTATAACAGTATCCACAGACATAAGCAGATATATGCCAGCAATCAAAGGCTGTCTGCAGAGAGGGACAGAGACATTAATTCAAAAACATGGTTTAGGAATACTTTCTTCTGAAAATACCACCCTCTGTGCCGGGCTGTTTTCCACCAAGGTTAGCATTCAAAGAATGAGAGTAGTCCGAAATATACTGATGATTATACCATTGTGATATAACGTTGTTAACAATCATCCAGCACACTGAAAGTAATACAATTGCCCTGGTATCTTTTGTTTCAAAATGAAAATGAACAATCAAATATATTTCATTGACTCTTGTTCTACACGGACAAAGTTATTACGGCCACCAACTAAAAAAAACCTAACGATACTTTTTTTCAGAAAAAGAAAGCTAAATGTCCATCTCCAAGCTTATTATCCCATCATAGTTCTCCATTTGGTACACTGCTATAGGAGATACTGTATGTTTAGATATTTTATAAGTGTATACCATGGCAGTGCAATAGCAGGATGTAAGATATAAGATCTTGCCTCAACTAAATCCACCATAAACCTGTGGGGAATGAACTGCCTGCCACCACCTGATCAGCTGGAGAAGGATGTCTGGCTTCGCAACTATAAAAGCACAGGATGTGAAGGCTTCCACACTAGAGTCCAACCCTTCTAAAATGTGCCACATCTATAGACAAGGGAAACTTTTGAATAAAAACAGAACAAGTGAGACTTAACAGAACTTTAAAACTGTTAGCTGGGAAAAGGGAAAACCTCCATCGGGGGGAGACATGAACCAAGTGGAAAATGGTCATAATGATTAGAAAACTGCAAACATTTTTGAAGGCTTCCAAGCAAGTCCCTACCCACTTATATTAACAGTGTGACTAAACTAAGGGTAAACTAAATTAATAATATATCAAATTTGATTAGCATACAGAAGGAGTTATTGAAAGTAGTTGTATACAAACAAAAGGTTGTTGGTGTCAATTGTGATGAGTTTAGTTTCTTCTTGGACATTACCAAGATGAAGAGCTTTTCATCCTGTCAATACCAGATGCCAGGCTATAGACCATCTTAAATGATGTGGATGAAGACAGCTCGAGCTTGGTCTAGATACAGAAAGTTTCAGATCTTCCAGGATAATCATGGTTCTGCCCTTGCTGGTGTCTCAGCATTCTTTTAAACCACAGCAGAGAACAAAAGCACTGGAGGACAATCCATACAGCTTCATGATTAATGATGAGGTGAAAAACAGATCTTGATTTATTTTTCATGGAAGTTTCACTGGGTTTTCTGGGAGGATGTCAACGACTGCTGCAATACCATTTGGTGTGCAGGCTTTTTTCGGTTTGAATCTGTTGGTGTTTAACTCTCCAATAGTTGGCGGACTGGCAATCCTCCAAATGTCACTGTGTGATGGCCTGTACAGTCTCCAGTTGTATAATGGACTCCCAGTTAAATAGGATAGCGCTATCTTTGAGAGATCAGGAACTTCAGATCAGAGGGGGTTTTGTCCCAAGATGTCAACTGGCAGTCTTAATAGTCTGGAAGAAGTTATGCATGTCATGCTGGTCAGTGTAGCCATATATCTGATTTACTCTCTCAACTAGTTGTTCCTCATGCTGTTGATGTGTCCCTGCATCTCAGCCATTAGCTGGTGACATATTTTCATCTTTTTTTCGGTTCATGGATGGCTTATCCAGGTGATAGTGGCTTCTCATTGCCACTCTATGACATTACAGATTTGGGCATCACTGACGTTGAACCAGCCCTGGCTTCACCCAATAGTCTGGATACAGGTGTCCACAACGTGTTTTGCTAAAGGGGTGTCTAGGCAAAAGTATCATCACAACAGTAGGTACTTCCACTAATGCACTGTGCAACTTGACTTGGTAATACTCTAATTGTCTAGGGTCACCAGCTTGACCCACTCCAGCTGAAAATCCTTCATGGCATCCATAATAAATAAGGATGCTCTGAAGAATATGGATCACTTCCTGTATTTTGGTATCATCTCTCCTAACATGGTACTATCAATGACGTCCGGCACCAGGTCAATTGTGCTAGACCTGCTATCCTCAAACTACAATAATATGATGTTTTACTCTTAAGGGACTACCGCAAGAATATGATCCAATGTGGGAATATAAAGTATTACTGGAACCTATTGAAGTACAGTTCTGAAGCAGGTCTGGGTATAATGAAAGTTGCTAAATATAGCTGCTAGTCAAATGGTTAAGTGTTTTCAAAGACAATGGTGCAGTAGTTTGAATTTTGTTAACCAAATGGCTGTCAGGAAGTCATTGTGTTTTATGTAGAATCCTCATTTTGCCATGTTAACAGTACTCCCATAATATGACACTGTATTTTGTTTGTGATGCGTTGTGCATTGAGAGCAAATGAAACAAAGTGACAGTCAGCTTCAGTGGTTCAGTGGTAATAATACTAATAAACAGTATCTAGTCACACTGACTACTATCATTTAATTATACACAAAATCTAATTATGGTAGTGATTATACACTTTTTGTGTCAAATTCACATCAGTGCTCCCTTCTCAAATATGCTAACAAATGTGTTGAAGGAGAACCTCTTACCCATTTTTGTCTGCACATACCCAGTTAATTATAACTGGTTTTTCTCTTTCATTTTTTATTCATGTTTCTTTTTCAAATTACAAAAAAAACAGGGAAAAGACTTGGTCCAAAAAAGTACAGCAAACAATCAATCTTGCTAATAAATTAAAAGCAGAAAATCAGATGGGACACATGTAATAGGACACGCAAATTGAAATATAGTTAATTAAATGTGCATATAAATTATTCTTTTAATATTTTGACATGTAATATTCCACTGCGCTTTTATATTTTTATACAACATTTACAATACCTTGCAGTGCATGTCTGCCACACTATTGCTAAATGCTGCAAATTATAGGAAAGGAGATCTATTTTCCTCCTTCCTGCAGGGAACCTAGACAGAAGAGGATTTTAAACTGGAAACAGGAGGCCTTTTTATACAAGCTGGCTGCCCAGCATTATTATGGTAGAGAGGGGTTCCTAATCATTGTGGGGACCCACAACCTGCCGGTTTTCATTGCAGCTCAGCTCTTTACTTAAATGAATCCTTAACTGTACCAGCGAGTTGTCTGATGTTTTCAAAACTTTTTCTACTTTTTCAAAAGTCTATTTTCTACTGAAAAGTGTGGAAATGTTAAGTTGCTCAAGAACTACAGAAGTAGTAAAAGGCAACCTCCTACATAATCAGAAATGGAAAGCAATTAAATAGTACAAAATAAAAACATTACGAGGTCTATTAAGGGGTTCAATTATTTAATTCAGTGCTCAGGTGAAACAAAAACTAAAAGGTGTTTTGGTTCCAAGGACCAGGATTGGGAACCCATGGTCAAAGGTTGTAACCTGGCTTCTTTCAAGAGTCAGCTGGATAAGCAAATATAAAATTTTTGATGGGAAAAATGGCCTCCACTCGTATTCATTCTTATGTTTCCCAACTACATTCACATTTTTTTCCTCAGTGTTTTGGTGAGCTTTGTTATTTTGAGATTTTTTTTCACTTTTTTTTTTTTATTCTACTTTGCACGATGCTTAAAGTATACATAACTGTAACATTTTTGTGTTCATTCTATCTCTTTGCCTAAACTTCAGATAAGACCTTATGATGAGTCACTTGATACTTACGGTTTAGACGTCATTCTTAATGTAACTCCAGAGCAGTCTCTGTGGTCATCTGAAAACAGGGATAAGAACAGGTAACCTCAAAGATTTCACACATAATCATGTTTTAATTACTGTACACTGTGTTGTGCTGCAGCTGGCTGGAGTGCACTGACAGGTGCAGATTGTCTGACAGCTACTGTTTCAGGTTGATGCAGGTGGATGACTGTCTGGGAAGCCGGACGCAGTGAGGCTGACTGGAATCCAAGAGAATAAAGGAGGACAGGGGAGCCTGCTGTGCTGCTGCTGACAGGACAGGGACGCATCTAAATTGACCGTGTCTCAAATTGAGCGTGGAGTGTCTGGAAGCCGAACGAAACGTGTTTTGGACTTTTGGCGTCTTAGTCTGACAAAGACAGTTTCCTGAAACAGGCAGGGAATTGCACTTCTCCTGATAGCTCAATGTCAGAGCACCGAATCAGCGGCGTTTCCTGTTCAAATGCAGTGACTGATTGGGGGGACGATTGGATGACTGGATCTCTGATTGAAAGGGAGGGGGACTTGCATACAGGTGGCATGACCTGGTCCTCATGGGCTCGGTTGAAATGTGAGCACTCATGAGAATGCTGCAGTTACCCGTGGCAACTGTAGGCAGCGAGCGACACCTTCATTCTTCAAATACTAATTATAAGACCAGGTTTTATTGTTCTGTGCATAGCCATTATAGATTACAATCACATGTGCCTTGTTTCCATCATTCGCTTATTTGTTTCTTGTCATTCAGTTAAGGATGGTAAAAGGATAAATCCTAAGTTACATGCAGACAATATCATCCTGTAGACTATTCCTGTAAAATTTTCCAACAACATAGAAAACAGTTTGCCTGCACATTTTGTAAGGTGAGAGAAAATCATTATAAAGTATGATGAATGTAAGATATTAGTGCACATATCAAGTCCTCTAAAACGGGGAGAGATTTGAAAATGACTGAAATCATTTATAGTTTGCTTATGTAATGCTGACATCCTCCCTCTCCCTCTAGTTACAACAATTGTATTAAATGTATTTTAAAGATGTTTATGGCTTTCTTCTGCACAATACTAATGACAGAAAGCTGTTAAATGAAGGAATTGATCTTTTTGTCCATCAATTGGCTGCATCTTATTTCAGAGGCCATATAATGGGCTAGCAAACTGTATGTGATGTTGTGGATGAGTCAGCCAGCAGTCCACTTCAAAATCCATAGCAGATGAACGCAGGCACAGGCAGAGCTTTGAAAAGTCTAAGATTAGTCTACAAAAAATGCTGAATTGATCATTTTGCCTGTAGAGGCTACCGCCACTTCCCTGGGGCATTGCTTTGACTTATTGGCAGGGCTATAAAAGGAGAATGTGTTACAAATGCCAGCAATATACTTGTTCTGCCGATAAACAAAAGGGTTTCATTACTCAGAGTTGTGAATGAATTAAAATCTGCCAAAAAAGTACTTGGCATCTAAAATAGATTTCTTCTACTGTAAATTCATTTCTGCTCGACTGATAGTGCTTTGTCATTACTGTCTCAGAGAAGAAAAAAACAGAATAGAAAGCATTTTGGAATTCTTTACAAGTCCACATGAGAAATCTCACATTATCATTAGGTCCAAAAACAAGTTAAGACATTTTCAGGCCATCTCCTGAGAAATGTTAAGATTTGCTATTAATCAAAATGATAAAAATGAAGGGTTATCCATCTTTCCCATGACGGTATTCAAGATGCAACTTGTCAGGGGTTTTCACCGAGAAGCTCTGTTCTGTCACTTAACATGCTATTAGGCACACATACTTGTCATGCTCCTCTGATGTGGTGACAGCTCATCCAACCCCCATCAAGCATGTAACTTTTTGCAACCTTAAAACAGTATTTATTGCTCTAGCAAAATACATGATTCCAGAAATCCTTGCAGGGGTCTGTTCTAAAACTCATTTTCAAAATTAGCTCTGACTGTTCTCTCTCCAAATTAAAAAAAACAGAACTATACACACCTACAGTATTCCCCTCTGTAGCTGAAATAATCTCTTCATACTTGTATAAAACCTTAATCTTTACATTTTAAATTAGGTGCACATTCTGCCTAGGAACAAAAAAGCTCTGAAAACCCCCTTCTGAAGTTCCACTTGATTTAACAGATCAGTAGCATCACATTAAACACAAAAGTGAAATCTAGTATGCCACAAAAATGTGAGGTAACCTTTCAACCTTCTAACATCACAGAACACTGTAGATTTTCTATGAAGTGCTCACTATTAAACTTGTGCAGTTGCACATCATAAACAGTCTTCACTTTATTTAGGAATCATGTATGGTATGGTACAATACCAGAGTGCGGCTAAAATGCTCAATAGACTGCACCAAGATTTTTGCACAAATCATGGTGTTTAAATCTATTTAAATATACAAGCAGATACTAGAAAGAAAGCTACAACTTCAGTAGTTTTGTTTGGAAGGGACTTCAGGAGAACCACATTAAGGTTTAATAGTTGTGTTATAAAGGGATATTTGGAAAGATTTATCTGCACACATCTGCATGTGGGAGCAGTACAACACACTGCTGCAGCTGTCCCTCATTAGATGTTCTCTTTATGTCGTTAGTGATAGCAACAAAAACAAATGGACACAGATGCACAAAGAGAAAGTTCCCAGTAACATCAGTGGTGTCTCCCAGTTGCAAAAGTTGACACTTTAGATGAAGAAACAACTGGTTATACTCATCCCTCAGGAGAGCCAACAGTGCTTCTACCATCAACCATCTATCCTAACTACGACCCACAGAACATTCTCTGATGATCCAGTTCACCTCATTATGGAAGAGGGGCTGGCAGGGTAAGGGCAACAGTTAGCTCTCCCCAATGGGTTAACTCCAAAAAGGTTAGGAGTTTTGGTCTTGGCCTTTAATTTGTATGGAACCCTCTTGTCAGCTAGGTTGGGCTTTAAGGTTTTCCCATTAGCAACTGAGAAGATTGGTAAAGTACAGTAGGGAGCAGATCTAACTGCTGCTGTGCCTGCTGGTACTAGTGGTTATTAGCGGTTAAGGTTACTACTGGTTAAAGATTAAGGTTATACAGGTATATCTTGTTAAAGATTCTGTTTAAGGTTAAGAGGGTTTTCTCTCCCCCTAAAGAGGATATGGTTATCCTGGAGGGGGTTTGGGTTGTCTGGCTGACTGAGACAGAGAGACTGCTCCCCTAACCCCGAATTCACACCAGAAGTGACACGTCAGTGCAGCGAAAGCGTAGCGTAAGCGACCATCTGTCCAATCCACACCAACTCCGACAGTTGTGTTCTGTGTTCAAACATGGGAAAGTCAATGGAACATTTGAGAGAGAGAAAAACAGACGAAGTTGGACTACCTGCAATTACAACACAGTGTAGTTGACTAAAACCCAACGCGAGCGGGTGGACAATCAACAGATCTCTGTTTATTGTGTCTAAACAACCACACCACAATATTTTACCCATGTCATCAGCTAGTTATTGTGGTGGTGACAACAAAGTGAAAAGTTGCCCTGTATCAATGGACCACTCTTGGCCAGCAGGATCATAATATTGTTGTAGATTATGCTTATATAGTTCACAGGGTATAGAAAGTGTGAGTTTTGTGTGATTTGACTGGATCTCTATGGGGCTTGCGCCACATGCAAGTGGAAAAAAATAGATTTGGAGCATAAAAAAAACACTGGAGGACAGAGGGGACGGATGTGAGACACACATCTCGCAGAGCCGGTGTGGATTGGAACATTGGTTAAAATGGAAGCGTATCTGTTCCATGAGTCGGACCAGAGATGGACGACTAAAAAACACTTGAGAAACACTTTTGGTGTGAATTAGCCTTAAGGAGGAATTCCATCGTGGAACCCCCCTAAGGAGGAAACTCAGCAGCAGCTGAGATGGAAGCCTTGAGTTTATAGTCCACTGATCGGGCAAGGTATCCCTGCATTGTGTAAGCCCTCACATTTAGAATGATGTCTGGAAGAACTCCTGATAATCAGTTGTCAAGGAAAAGAGGCCCTGATCTTAGCCTCGTGCTGGGGAAACATGTTTATCAATAATCCTGGAGAAGTTTATACAAAAGTGAAAACTCCAGTTAATGGATATAGAAACAACAGTTTCCAGATACGGACTGATGTTTAAGGTTTATGGTTTTATTTGTGGCCTCTGGTTTATGGTTATAGCTTGTGGTTATGTTTATGGGTTAACAAAACTTCCTTTAATACCCTGTGAAGTTTGTGGTGTCACTGAAGGTTGGGTGTCCAGTCCTGAAGTTAGTGTAGCTCTGAGTTGTAGTAAGTAGATTTTGGGTTAGTCTCCAGGAGCAGTGAAGCAAATAGGACCATAGAAGAAAATGCTAAAATTAAAATTTGCTTAGCTCAGAAACCACGAGTAACGGGTTATGAATAGCCGATGAAAGACTGCCATGGTGCTCATGCCAGTGACAAGCAGGGTGTCCGTTACATTTACCAACACTAGTGTAGTACAACTATTAATAAAAAAGATTCAGTGAAATTCCTGTAAATATTAAGTTGATACATACAAAAAATGAAACTGCAATTTATTCACAAGAAGTAAAAGCAGCCTTATCCATTTTGAATGATGTCTGACACACAATGCTCAAAGTATTTGTCAAAGTTTACTAATAAAACAAATTAGGAAGAGGAGAATTCATGTTTTGTATTGGGATTTTATTTTAAAAAGTTAAGTGTATTTTAAAAGGTTATTAATATGGTTTCATATAGTACCGAAGTTCGATTTGTGTGAGTTATACAGTATGGCTCAGATACACTTGTTTTACAGTTAAATTATACATCATTATTATACTTCCTCAGCTACAGAATTCAACACAAAGACTCAATTTCAAGATCAAACATTCAGTGACATCAGAAGAAAAAATCAAGCATGAAAATTAAAATGATATTTTAAATGTTTTAAAATTCTGAGCTATTACCTCAGATTAGTGAAACAATGGTTAAATACGAAAACAATTCTAAAAAGTCAGACTAAGGTGCACTCCCAATTGATATAAAATTGGTTGCAGTTTCATTCTTCTAATTACTTTAACCTGCAAGAAAACCTCTCCCTTCTCACTAAAGCAGAAGCACCAATAATGCTGTTTACAAATGTCTTAACATTCCTTCGTTTTAATATTTGTTTCACACTTACCTCTGAAGGCTCTAACATCTCCATAATGGATCTGTAGCACAAAATAAGTTATACCGCTGTCACCACCAACTTTAAATCCAACATCTACAAAAAATGGAAGAAAGTTTTCAGCACACTTCTAAAGGTTTTTGTGAGTATGCATTTCAAAGATGGCAACTGATACATTTTCATTACTTCCACTGCAATAAAAAGTGCTGTGTAGGAATAAGAAAACAAACAAACTAATAAAAAGACCAGAGAACTACATTAAACAATTTATCTACTGTTTATTGTGTGTATTAACACTGTGATGGAGATGGTTAGATTGTTATGGCTCTGTCAAGATGTAACAAGAGTAAAGACAACATTGTCTCACTATACATCTGAGGTTTTAACCACTATATGGTTCCTATTCCACTTTTATCTCTTCTGTACTGGAGAAACCTGTCTAATCCTCTATTAGCCATAATCCTCAGTCATCCATATGAAATGTTCATAGCATATTCCAGCTTTTGTTGAGAAACGAAAGCATTTATATACTTGGAAGAAAAGTGAAGCACTACCTCGAGGTAATTTTGTAGGTGGTGCGTTTTTTGCCCAGGCATATATAATATTAGCTGTATCTTCACATGTTCCCTGCACGCCACCACAGTCCCTAAGGGAAAGAACAAAGGGTTAAACTATTTCTTACATGCTTCATAATTACTAACAGAATTAATGATCTCTCTGACAATTGTTATGATCCGTCACATTCATGACCAAAGCCTTTCAAGCAAAGACTTAGAATCGACTTTGGAATTTTGAAATCTCCTGCTATGCCACAAATTACATTGGAAAGAATTTCTTTCCAAAGGAGAAAAGGCAAAGATTTTTGCAGTTAAAATGTTTTGCTTGCCAGTGTTTCAAACACAGGGGCATCTCAATTAAATACAAAACGATTATAATGTTTTAAGAGACCCAAAAGCAAATCGTATCAACCATGAGGTTAAGAACAAAATCTGATCTGTTTTATTAATCTTGAATCAATTACCTGTTAGTTTGAAAATGTAGAGTAAGACACAGAAATCCAGATCTCAATAAGGGTCAAGGTACACAGGAAATTCAGAGGATAAATTGCAGTTTTATAGGAAATTTGAATCTGACTTTCACATATTGCAAAATACATATTCATACATTTTTCTTGATACATTTAATTATGTTTTTACTTAATCTATATACAATTAAAAATGAATAAGATTATTTTATGGACTACACTGTGTGGGAAATATTAATACTGTATATAATATATATTACATGTAAACTTATATATTGCACATCTTATGCACTGTACTTACTCTACATTTCTAATAAAAACTAAATTAATGTGACCTGTAATTGATAAAAGTATTATTATTATTCTGTTTTGTTCTTTGGAAAAAGATAAACATGTCTATAGCATCACAGAGGTGCACTTTATGTCTCCAATTTCTTGTTGACACCGAATCCTTGAAACTATCTTAAGAAATTACCATTGAGGCTTCATTCTGTTTTTTATACTTTAATCTGCACCACCTCCTGTACACATTTGTCACACTTACATTGCAGTTAGGGCATTAACAGTGACTTAAAATATACTGTAGGGTTTTTTTTCTAAATTATAACATAAATGGAATGAACCATTTTAATCAGCTTCAAGCAGACATCTGATTTCAGCAGGCATCTGTTTAAATTAATGTAACACAGGGATGTGAATACATTAGCCACTAGCTAATAAATATATAATTTTTATAATCTACAGATGCACTAGGCACTTTGATGTCACGGCAGAACACAGTCACTTATCTGTTGTGTTTTTTCATGCTTATCCTTTAAGTTCCTAATGCTGCTAAGTACATGTATAATTATCAAGTGAACCGCCATCATGGAACAAAAGCGTTTATCAGGTTTGAATTAACTACTGCCTACAATTCTTACATGATTCACACTGACATATTGCAGCATTTGATCCACAAATCACATGGGCATCTGGTTACCTTATTGCTGTTGAGAAATGCTAATTTTCACATTTTATTTCAGATTTCTCTAAGCCTCTCAACAGTTGTTGTCTATATGCTTACTAATCATTCACATCTCCCTGGAACGAATCTTAAGACTAAACTACATTAGACCAACTGCTCTTTCTCAAGCACAGCCAAATAAATGCCTGTCTCTGCCAAAAACAGGATGAAAATCTGCCAACAAAGCTACTACTGCAAGATACGACACTCCAATATATGCAGCTTTTTAAGTTTTCATGCTCCCTCTGGAAATGGAAAAACATTCACCTCAAAGACAATTATTGAATAAAGGTCAAGGAAACAATACTATTTGTATCTGGTATCAAGGCTTACTCAAAGTTCTCTTGCACCATCTTTAATTACGGCTTGGCTTTAATTTAGATGTTAAACGGCAGAAGAAAGAGAACTGAAAGAAATATGATTTTACAACTTTTGCAAAACTCTGAATTTGCAGAGTGACATTATATTTCATTTTCAGAAAGGTCATTTGCATCAATCACATAAGAGTGTTTCTATAAAAAGATTTTATTCTGTTATTATATTCACTCATATGGAAGTAAAAGAAGGCCTGCAAAAGTGAGAAGGCAATGCAGCCCTTGTGAGAGGGCAGGTGTTTCCCTCAGCAAGCTATGGCAGTTTGCGCTGCAGGTATGCGGCTCAGAGACCATTAAGAGGGAGAATACAGGTACACTGATCTCTGCTATTATGTGAGTTTCCAAAACTCATATTGGCTCATATACAATTGGTAAACAGGGGACAGAAGTCTGTATAATGCAAAACTCATTTCATCCCCAACATGTTTACGTTTTGCATGGTGGAGTAACACAAATGAACGTGGCGGTCCACAGAGGAATATGAACATGATGCTCAGTTGTCTCACGTGCTTTGTTTTGAAAGTGCTAATTGGGAGGTGCTCCTCAATTCTCGTGCTATTTTCACTAAATTCTCTGCATTGCTGTAAATATGAGTGGACAAGGTGACAAGAATGTGTCTAAGAGGCGTTGCTGGTGATAAAATTTCAGGTGGTGAACTTCAATTTTTTTCAATGTAAAGTCCTAATTTTTACCGTGGTAATTCTTTATTATTGTAGCGCCCTTGTCTTGCGGAAGCACACCCAGATAATTAGTATGAACCGTGTTGCAGGCTGGAAAACACTGGCGGGGTACTGTCGGGAGATGTTCGTAAGGCCCGCAGTCTGACTGCTAGCTAACCTTAGCAATGTAAATTGTGTTTTTTTTAGGAAATTGTACTTGGTTGGTTGATGTTTACCCGTTTGCTTCCCAAGTATTGTAAACAACCCACCCTAAAGTGGTGAATGTTTTCTCTTTGTTGCACTTGTGTGTTTAAGTTTTGTTCTGATGAGTTTCTAGTGTCTGTTTCCTGGTAACAGGTTGATGGAGTGCCTGTGCTATCTAAATGTCTTGCTGCCTGCCTGAACAGTTCCTTAAATGCTACACTTTAAATTTAATGTGTTTAAACTGCATAAACATTTTTATTAGGATAACTAATAAACTTGGTAAAGCTTTGGTTAGGCATTTGGTTAGGTTTTGAGTGGTCTGCCTCTAACCGTATTTTTTTCCATGAGCCCTATTATTTTTATTGCATGATTTTGCATAACACCTGGTTTTACAGGAATGCATCTGTCACGTTAAAGCAGAGGTGGTGAGAGAAAGATCTGCTGTGGCTGTTTTTGATCACGTCTCCCTATTAACACAGTAGGGAATGAACATGGAGCTAATGGTCTCATCAGCTTGTTGTCGGACTAGTTTCAGAGTTATGATTAGACCAGGGGAACAAGTTAGATTCCCAGAGGGGAAAGGTGAATTTGCTCTCACATATGTTAATGTGGGTAAAGCACTGTTTGCTTTTCCTTGTGCTTAAAGGTCAGACAGGAGAAGCACTTGCCAGTTCTCCCATCACTTAAGGTTTACATAAAGGGGGACAGTGGAATTTAAGGTGGAATTTAAGGTTATGAACCATGTTAGGGTGGGAAGGTTTTTACAAAAAGGTTGGCAAAGACTCAACTGAGGTTTACCCGTTCCCCACTTTTACAACAAATATGGAGCAGGAAGCCAATGACAGAGGGTTTATGTGCGTACTGTAGGTCCTCCAGTGCCACACTATCAGGTTATGGGGGACCTGCCAAGAGGCTCTTATCCAAATCTTAGCTGCTAAAATATCATCTTCTTTGGGAAGGAAGAGGCAAAGGTTTATTCCATGCTGAAGAAAAAACAGACACAATGGTTTGGCTCCAGACCCTTTTTCGGGTGTGAGGGAGAGAGGGAAACCAGCATGCAAGAACAAAAGATGGGGTATCTGAGAGGAGGAGGAGAGCAGGAGAGAAGGAGTATCGACACTCAGGGAGAACTGAAAAAGGCTGAAGTCAAAACCGGCAAATAATTAGAGAGAATTAGAAGGACACGAGTCTGTCATTAAGTGAAGGGGGAAGGCGTGATCCTAGTTTCAGGATAATTTTGGTTTCTTATGTCTTTCTGAAACCCCTCTGTTTTTGCTGTGGGCAGTCAAGGGAGCTGTGAAGAAGAAGATCACACAGATTTGGTGGTCAGCAATATGAGATAATGGGGCAGTCAGAAAAGAGGGTACCAGTAGAGGGATCCTGTAAAATGGGGAAGTAGTCATTAATGGTCTTGGGCATTACAAAGAGTGTTAGGGCGGTAAGGAAGCACCAATGGAATGTGATCGTGAGTCTGGGAATTCCTAATTGGGTTGATGATCATCAAGCTACCTACTTGAACATCTTGTTTGGTAGTTTAGTAGCCAGGTGAATTTAAAATTGCGTCCAGATGCTTGTTAAAGGAGCACAGCACTTGGGCTTCAATTACCTGGCCAAGAAAACTGTTTCAGACAGTTCTGCTTATGTGCAAGGAATGACCCGTTTGATAACCAAACTGATACATCTGTGATGCTCTGATGCCTGCTGCTATAAGCAGCAGGTTGAATTTCTGATCAGTTTACAGTCCTAAAAGGCAAAATGCATATTTTTTTTTTACTTTTATTTCCCACTGTATATCAAAAGAGTCTAATCAAAAACAGGGTGCAAAAGACCCTACAGACACTTGTCCTAGAAATTCTAAATATAAGAGTGTTTCTAAAGTAAACACATCAATTGGCTTTGATGGAAATGAAGCTGTGAAGGAATCCATACTGTAATGGCTGTGACATCAGAGAAGCCTTTGAAGCAGGAATAAGTAAACTAGAAGTTTAAAAGGTCAGATGCATAAAGTATTAAGCATCTTCAATACATAATGCATGGTCAAACGTATTTCAGTACACACTGTATAAAGTCACGGCAAATAATGAGCGCAAGGCAGGGTACACCCTGGATGGGGTGCCAGTCCATCGCAGCACTGTATATAGTGATTTATGAAATTATCTCCCTTTTATATATGCAAATGGTCCACATTCTGAACTCAAAATAATGAAATCATTCACATAATGTTCATCTAAAGTTCAACAAATCAGAAAAAGTAACAGCTTAATAATATTATGACTAAAAAATGGCTATGTGATACTGCTGCCAAAAGCATACAAATATTAATCAACTCTGATGGATGGCATTATTTGAGAGAATTATGCCATGTGAGTTTTTAGATAGAAAACAATACTCATACCTTTAATATCTACTGCATTTCACAATGCTCAAGTCTCACTGGGGGAGGAATGATCTGTCTTTCTCAAATAGAAGAGATATGATGCCTACCTCATTCAATAATCTCTGAAATTCTTGAAATAAGCATGTATTGATTTTCACCCTCTGTATACATTACTGACATCTTTATGAAATCGGAAACTGAATTTGAAAGACAGTCTTAGGCTATGCACCCCCAATGATGGGAAACAACCTTGCAGCATACGGTTTATTTGTATAGTAATCTCTTTGTTGTCTTCATCACAAGGCCTGGATAAGGAACAAAAAAAATAAAGTAATCTCCCTGGGGTCAGTTCCTGCTCTTTAAAGACGTTGTTGAGGTTGCTATGGTAATGTGCAAGTTTATTTCTGCTAGCTTGATGGAGGTTTTCTGCAGTGAAGTGAAACAACACTGAAGCAACACACATTAGCTGTCTGCAAAAACAGCACAGGACAAGAAATATAATCCTTCATGTATGTGGTCAATTCTTTCTGCCGTTAAATGTAGAGTATTTCATAACAGATACTTTTCTTTATTGTGGATTGCATTAATTTTCTGAACATGGAAATGGGTAAGAAACATCCTATGTTTAGAGACTTGTGAGAAACTGACACAGCTATTTGATCTATGAAATGCCCTAGAAGCTAGCTGCCAATTTTAAAAGAAAACATTACAATAATAAGGGATGGCACAGTAGTTAACATTTCTGCTTCACAGCACTGGGGCTCTGGGTTCAATTCCTGGGCTGCTGTCTGCATGGAGTTTGTATGTTCTCCCCATGTTCATGGGGGTTATCTCTGGTCATTCTGGGTTCCTCCCACAGTACAAAGATATGCTGGTACTGGGAAAACTGGCCCCGGTATGAGTGAGTGCAAGTTTGTGTGTCAGCCCTGTGATGAACTGGCATTCCCTTCATGTTGTAGCCTGCCATGCGACCACTGCTTGTTGGGATAGGCTCCTGCACTTTTATGACCCTGTACTAGATAAAGTGGTTAGAAAACAGATACATTTCTACTTTGGGAATTCTGGTCATGGTTAAAGAAATAAATATGTGAACACTTTCACAAACATAAGAGAAGGCATTTATTGCATTAAATTAGCAGTGTCATGTGTGCTGAGACTGAGATAAATAAACAGACTGGTAAAACACACCTTTAACTAGGGTTATAAACAAATGGCTGGAATAAAGACAAAGATTGTTTAGGAATTTTCCCTTTAAAACAAAATGCATTTAATCTGAGTTTCTGAGTAAAATAAACTTTGAGAATGTAAAATTGAAACAGAGAGCTTTGACTCTGGAAAGACCACATAAGCAATGAATCAGTCTGAGTTAGAGTAAAATGAATCTTTTTCAGACTCTCTTTGGGGAAATAAATGGTGGTGTTGGTTGGGGGGGGGTATCTGTAGATAAACACAATGAGCCAAAAAAAGTTGCCCATTTTTTTAGCACAACAAGGCAGCAAATCTCAAGGGTGCCAGCAAGCGGATTGTACTCAGGGGATTCCACACTTCAGAGCTGGAACACAGCCCTCGAGTCATGTGACCACACTCTCACAGTCGCTTATGGTCTTCAGCATTCCAGACAGGTAGGATATCACAGGGTGAGTCGTGCTGCCGAACCAGGCAAAGCAGCCCGAGGAAAAATCAGCTGGAGTTCATTTATCTCCCAGTGCCATGCCTGAAATTGTGAGACCTGTAATTCTGTGTTTTGCTGAACACTGTGTGTCAATTTAAACAATGTCAACTCTAAAGAAAAAAGCTTACATACTGCATGTATTTTTAACTTATTTTCAACCCATCTAGTCTGTTCAGTAGATCTCAGCCAACTGATTCAATTCAAGAATTGATTAATTCAAAGATTTCATCCCGCGGTTTTCTGAAAGAAGGGCACACACAGACACGAACACACACATGCTTACAAACCAGGGCCAATTTTCCAAGAAGCCAATTAACCTACAGTACTAATATGTCCTTGGACAGTGAGAGGAAGCTAGAACACTTGGTCCTGGTGGCAACACACGTGAACATGGGGATAACATGCAAACTCCACGCAGATGGAACTGATTCCAGGGCCCTAGCGCTTGCTGACCACTGTGTGAACATGTCACCCTTGCAGTCTGTTCCATACATACTCCCACAGTCATTTGGGTAAAGAACTGCCTCCTGTTCTCAGTTTGAAGTGCATTTCCACATCGTTTCTATCGGTGTCCTCTGGTTCATGTTTCTCTATGTATTCTAAAGAAGTCTGCTGGGTTGTCATTATTTCTATTACAAACTCTAACAACATGGACAATTCAACCTGAATTTATTAACAGAAGGTCCTTTGGCCTTCTGTCCCCGCATTACTCACACTTAAACCCTTCTACCAACCCCACAGCCACTGTCAGTTCAGAAAACCTTCTGGATCATTACATAGGCCTTACAGCGATCTCTCCACATTGCCAAGGGATCAGTTCCCAAAACCAAGTGGGTTCCAGCCAAAAAAAAAACTTCAATCATTTTGAATTGCAAATCATTAATAATGTATTTCTCAATTGTTTTTCCATCACATTTGCATTATATTTGCTTAAAACTCCCAGTGAGCTATCTGCACCACAGGTGTCCAGTACTGGTGCTGGGCTGGATTTCCTTTAGGTTTTCTAAGTCTCTTAGATATAAAAATCCAAAATAATCAGCTGATGTTGTTAACTTGGTCCTATTAAACCAATGATGGCCTAATTATGACTGTTTAGAGCTAGGCTAGAATGAAAACCTACACGCACTGGCCCTCCAGGACCAGGATTGGACAATCCCTGATCTACACAAAATCATGATAGATAAAGAAACCAATGTACTCACACAAAAACCATTTTCACTGCTATTTAATAACAACAGAAGCTTAAGAACATTACAACACCGGCCCAGTGAAGGCATAATGCTTGATTAAACTGTTAATCTTGCTCTAGAGGATTTGACGAGACAGAAAGTAATTAAACTAACTTTGCAGCTGGAAAGCAAAAAAATCATCTTTATAAAAACAGACGTTTATGTTCAAAATAATAGATAATAAATCTAAGTTTATCAGGCTCTTTGTACACTTTATTACTACAGTGTACAAACTTTGGTGCTCTGAACATTAATACATCACAAGAAAAGGTATGTTTATGTCCTTTATATCATATGATGTGACTCCAATATCATTGGGAATATTTATGTCTAATACATTACTTTGTATGCATAATTAATTAAATGTACACTAGCTGATGGGACTAATTGATCCCCATATGTTTTTATTTTTTCAACCATTTTTAAATGATAAAAGAGAGCAAACCTTGTAGACACTCATATCTGGCACTGCTTTTTAAAAGCTAGTTATAAACCACCAATCTTTTAATTTAAAATATTTTTTAAATCACACTTTGCTAATATACAGTATTTAATTAAATAAAGTTCAGGTGGGTAGCTATGCCAGCATGCGTAGGCTGCCAAGGAACAAGTAATAGGTTTATTCCATGCTGAAAAAAGAAAAAAACACAACGTTTCGGCCGTGGAGCCTTTTTCAGTTGTGAGCAGGTATGTTTCTCACACCTGAAGAAGGCTCCGTGGCCGAAACGTTGCGTTTTCTTTCTTCTCTTTTCAGCATGGAATAAACCTATTACTTGTTCCTATTTCATTAAAAGATGCATCAATTTACAATGCTCCTCAAACACTCCTCATTCCTCTTCACAAATCATTGCAAATTAAGGATTTGTATTGTGCTAAAACTTCAAAACCTTATGAAAAGCTAATTAACTTTACAAGATTTGTGCTAAAACTTCAAAACCTTATGAAAAGCTAATTAACTTTACATGATTAATTACACAATCATTTTAGATACAAGTTAAATGGCAATTTCCCATTGTGAAGAAGCAACAACTCTGGGGCAAATATAAACACAGTACTGAATTAATAAAATCCCTACCAGTAACCATCAGTGGAATACGGAGATCTGCAGCCATAGAGTAGCATGTGATGGGCAGTTTCCATGCTGGCATGAGGCAGAAAGTCAACTGGAAACCAAACAAAAAGATCATAGTTACAATGAGATGACACATTCCCTTTTTTTTCTGAATTACAGTACAAATATTCAAGAACCATATTCAATCATTAGAGAAAATCATGAAGTGCTAATGTTTATTCCCTCAGTATCATTTCAGACGTTCAGATCCAAATGTCTCATGTTTAAACACCACCAGGCTGGATGTGCTGATTCAAGAGCTCTCTGGTAAGAAGCCAGACATCAAACCTTAAAATAATCAATTAATTGAACTGCAATTACACAACAGTGCCTTTACCTCTAATCAGGAAGACAATGTTCTTTGTTCTTGCA